CAGAGACATAATATATACATTAAAATTTACGCTTATAACTTACTTATGTAAGCAAAGATCTTTATTTTTGGCTTGTTTTTTGTTACAGACATAACAATANCTCACCATTTTGCACTGATTTTATCGTGTAGTACGTAATTTTCGTGCTACCACAAATAGATTCAAAACAATATCCATGACAATATCTTAGAAGACTTTCGAGGTTATACTTCACGTTACATGTGCTATAGATTTTCAGTACTGGCAGTGAATATCGGAACGCAGCCAATATACGCATTATGGATACATGTNACGCATGCGCTTTCGAACAAACTGAACAGTGATAAAGAGTAATAAAGAGAGTAGAGCATTGTCTGCACCGTAGTGTTGGAACCGCGCTGAGAGCTCAACTAGCCATATAGAAGTATTACATATATGGGTGATAGCATGCATGTAGCATGTATAGACTTGTTGAGAGACTTTGCAAGCGCTAACAATTAACATTAACAATTCGTAGACCTTTTTATAATTTAATTTACTTCATACTTTTATAGAATTTAAGTTAATATATATTTTACCTTAAATTTTTTCTAAATTAATTTATCTTTAATTAACAACAGTTGTTTATGCTTTAGTGTAACCAACTGTTGTTGTTTCTTAAAAATAATAAAAAAATTATATCCATACAATTATATCCTAACAGCACACGACATACTGCGTATCATTCCATTTTCATACTCAATATACTGTACTCATCCGTAAAGCCTGTTCTACATTGATCGCAAGCGCAAACGCAAAGAACAGGTCTGGTAGAATTGACTAATCGTATTGATCAAATCAGCGAATTGACCAGCGTGATTGGTCAATTCTACGAGATCTATACCTTGCGTTTGCGCTTGCAATCAATGTAGAACGGGCTTAACGTACTGAGATATACGGATAACGTCATTTATAGTAGTATTCGGTTTTCTGTCGCGCGCGTATGTTCTCAGAATGTACAGAGGGGTGCACCATATCGTTCCGCTCCAAGAGAAGTTTTTCTCTGAAATTTCTCTTCTGGCTGCTTCTACTACCGCGCTCCGTACTCTTTCGATCTCCGCCAGCGGCCCGAGATTGAAGGAAAACGACGCGCGGTAGTAGAGACAGCCGGAGGAGACATTTCCGAGAAATACTTCCCCTCGACGTTATTCTCACCCAAAATCCTGTAACTTCGTGCGTTCAAGAGTCGAGCTCTTGCTCCTTTTTGTAACTTGCGTTGTTGGTGTTAAAGGTTTGTAATAATAGAGTGATTTAGTAATAATCATATTCTTTATTTCTCGCCATTACCTTGCCACGCACGTGGTCATCACCGCTTTACAAGTTTTACGGCCGTTTTGTGATCACTCATAATCGAGTAATATTGCGGCTTGTGGTTACAATTATTACAAAACTGTTTTCCATACGCTGCGAACATTTGCGGCGAAATTCTACAGTAGATGGTGCCGCGGACATAGGTACGATTGTAGTACGTACTCAGTTGATAGCAGTACGCATAAGAATATACTGAGATGATCGCAATATACGGACTGCGAATTACTTAGTACGTACTCAGAATATATCCGTGCTGTTAGAGATACAAGACTCGAACCTTTATAACTTCTCGAGCACACAAGTCAAAAGTAATGGCCTTTTACGCCTAAGTATAGACTTATATGTTTATGCGCTTAAGGTGATTGGTCCCCCACCGCTCTTATTAGAAGAGAGAGAGAGACAAATACTCCAGCACTATCTGTCCTTTAATGTTGCCTTTAATTTCGTCATATAAATGTTCCGTTTATTAAGGCCCGAATTCATAGTCGCTTCTCAAATCTTAGATCTCGTCTCCAATCTCAAATTTCAACTCCCAGGTCTCGAATCTCCAACCTCAAATTTCAATGCAGTGGCCAATAATGAAATTCGGTGTTTCATGACTAAGCGAGTAGAGATTATAGATTTTCGGTCCACTGAACCATTTTTGCACCAAACCAAACCAGAGATTATAGATTTTTCTAATTAATAATGGAGATTTATAATAAGATATAAATAATGGTCTTCAATGAGAGGCCATAACGTTCAATTAAAGAATATATATTTGTATATTCTTTGCTTCTATTTTAAGTTTATATGGCATAATATTTAATAAAATTAATGGTTTAGGTTATCAAATTAGCAAAGAAGAATGCTACACCAAAATTTTCGGAGATTGAAAAAATATTATTATTGTCAATTATGTCATGTTTTTCTCTCTTGTTATAGTACGCTTGTTATAGTACACTTTATGACCACAAACTACCAAATTACAAAATAAACTATTCACATTCAAATTTAAGGTTGGAGATTCGAGACTTGAGAGCTGAAATTTGAGATTGGAGACGAGATCTAAGATTTGAGAAGCGACTATGAATTCGGGCCTAAATACCCTAACAGCACGGATATATTCTGAGTACGTACTGACTAAGTCGCAGTCCGTATATTGTGATCATCTCAGTACATTCTCATACGTACTGCTATCAACTGAGTACNTACTACAATCGTACCTATGTCCGCGGCACCATCTACTGTAGAATTTCGCCGCGAATGTTCGCAGCGTATGGAAACAGTTTGAAAACAGTATGAAAGCGGGAGATTTTAGTATATCACATNTACACGCACACATATACCCAGCAAGCGCGTGCGCTCACGTATTGAAATAGGATAAGTTAGATTAGGTTAATAATTTGTTGAATACGTTTATAGAATTGGAGTATATACATTTTTTATTACTATATATATTTTTATAACTTAATATATATTTTTATAATCACATATATTTTTTTAACTTATAATATATATTTTTCTAATCACATATATATTTTCATAACTTATAATATATAAGTTTTATAATCACAAATCAAATGTTTTCAATTACATTTTTCATTCAGAAGAAAATTTTATAAGTATAGTAATATTTAATAAGTTTAGTAATTAGTTGTATGGTTCAACTATTTTCATACGTTAAGAATAAAATTAATTAGTTGGATGTGATAAAATATATCTGTAAATGTCGACACGTTAAAGATTGATAAAAAAGAAATTAAGTGCTCTGAAGCTAATACGACATTCTTCGCTGAAAAAAATAAAATTTCTATATTTTACATGTATGTTTTACCAAATAAAAATAAATAAAATAACTTTAATAAATGCTTCTACTGTAACATATATGTATTTCATATTGAAACGCAATTTGCTACCTTTTTTTATGTAATGATCTTTATCAAAAGATAATTAGTTCAAATACATAACAATCACTATGATCATGCAAACCTAATCTTAGCATCAAAAAATCCCTGGAGAGTGGATTGTTACAGAAAGAAATCATTGTTTCCCTTCTATATCTTGATCTTTTCTTCTTCTTTTTTCTTCCTCTCGATAGATGCGTTTCCAGGCATGTGCCAACCATATTTTAATTGTATACGACATCTGTTCATCGTTCGCAGATTTATGTGCGTTTCTTTTGAAACTTCTGCAAAAACAAATTTTTAAATTATTTAAGTTTTCAAATTACTTTCTTATCAAAGAAAAAAATATTTTTATTTTTTGTCATAAGTTTGATACATAATGTGATTTAAATTAAGAAGTAATAATTAATTTTAATTAATTTTCAATACAAAACAAAGCCCTATAGAATAAAGCCACTAGTTTAAGAATAGACAACTTCATAATTAAAATTATAAAAAAACATTATAGGCATGTAAAAGAAATCAAACAAAATTCATTAATGTTTGGATCTTTTTACCCCAATTCCATGTATTAAAAAGAAGCGTTAAAATCAGTTTACATCCCTCCAGAAGCTTTTTATTATTTAGACGCTATGAATTATATACAAGAAAAAACACCAATTATGTATCACTATGCTAGACATTACAATTATAAGAAATTACCGGATAGTAATAAGCCAAACAAAAAATACAAATGGCCATTTCAAAAAGAGATAAAGCTGAAAAAAAGTAAAAGTAATCTTCACAAACAGTGGCGTGACAGTTAGAAAAAAAAATTTTATAAATTATTGCAAATAAAAATTTATAAATTATATTATCCATCCTCAGTTTTAATACTGAATCTTATTTGTAATCTTTCCATCTTGTAAACATAAGTAATTTAACATTTAAGCCAAAGTTAGAGTCTCCCACACAGAACAAAAACTCCATTAGACGTCTATTAGATGTCAACAGCTCCATGCAACATCTAATAGATGTCCAATGGATGTCTAGATGGATGAATGTCTATGTGGGCTAAGACATCTATGTTATTTTATTATTCTATTCTTTTTTTTGTTTTGTTTCTTTTCTTCTATTTATAAACTCTTATTATAAGTCCTCCACAAATTTCTTTTTTCAACAATCACTTTTTTTCATTTAGACCTTTTTATATATTTTATTATATATTTTATATATTTAAATATAATTATATATTTTTTTCTTTTCCTTTATTTAAAAATAAAAAGTTCTTCTAAGACAATGACTGTAGTAACGAGTGTTCACACAGAACATTATAATGATAATTAACATTATTAAACAGAGAGTATATATCTCACCTCGTCAATAATTTGCTGAAAATGCACAGGAACAGCTTCTGATATTTGAATCTTTCTTGGAATTGTGTATTAAAACTGATATCTTTTTGGATCTGATCTTGGTGGCTCGATAACCGATTACAAACAGCATTGAGTCTATCACATTGCTTTTGCCACTTCCATTAGGATCTACTATCGATGAAAAACTCTGGAAAAAAAAAGAGATAGTACCGATTCAATACATGTCAGAAAAACAATGTAATGTTTTGTTTATTGAACATAATATATGTAACAATAGGTTTGTTTTACTTGCATACACAAAAAGTGTAAAGTGTACACCTTACACTTTTAATACATTACACTTTTTGGGAGTGGGAAAAACATCGTGTAAAGTGTACGCTTTTCAAGAAGAACGCCAGAGTGTAACAAAAGTGTACTAAAGCCATTTGTGCATGGTGTTTGTTTGGAGTTTTCTTCATTATCTATTGTACATTGATGGGTGGACCATTAAGATCTATTTCTGGTGAGTGTATTTTAAAAGTTAGCCCACCTATAATTAATAACTAATAACAGTAATAATTTAATACGTATAATATTAATATAAACTACATAAAACACATATGAAAACTACAAATGTATACATACTGTCAATTTGACATGTAATTTAGCCTGCTTCATCTATAAAAGATGATATTTTACATATATATAATAAGATATATGTTAAAATATATGTTAAATTCATTAATATGACATTTTTTAAATATAATATAAATTGTAAATCCTTTAAATATAGTATTAAATTATATGTTAAATTAGTATTAAAAAGTATTTTTTTTGTGTAGTAAGTTTTCTTTGCAATGGAAAACGAATCATAAAAACAGCAACTGTCTACCGAAATGCAAGTAACGAAATTATAATTACTACACAAAAAAAATAATTTTTAATACTAATTTAACATATAATTTACTACTATATTTAAAGAATTTATAATTTATATTTAAAGAATGTCGTATTAATGAATTTAACATATTTTAACATATATCTTATTATATATATGTAAAATTAAATACAATACAACCTATCAAGAGGCACGGTAGTGCCTCGCGCCAAGTTCACGCGCGCGCGCAGTGCGCCCGTACCTCTATATACGCAAAAATGAAGAATTTTAAGAGTGGGGGAAAACTCAATCAGCAATATCTTGATACTGACTGAACCGATCGGCTTTATTCTACTCTCAATCGATTCAGGAAACTACCCGAGTCAAAATTTTGATTCTCTAATGAACCTCTCATTCTACTATATAATAGGAGTTACGATAGTAAAGTAGGTTCAATTGCAAGGATAAAATTTGCTCCTACTTTCAACCTAAAAGTGTCACAAATTTCCATTTTCTCCAAGTTAGGTTTAAAGTAGGTTCTATTTATGTAGGAGCTAAAGTAGTAAAATAGGTTCAATTAAAACCTCTATTGAACCTACACAGACAGGTTTCTTTAGATTTAACAAATTTTGTTAGGTTAAATAAGCCTAAAACTTCAATAAAAAAAAATTGTTTGCGGCTTGCGCTCTCACACAACTTTGAAGATTTCACTCGAATTAATCTTTGGAGGCCCGATTCAGCTCGCCAATCAACCGATGAACTCCATTGGAAGAGACTGGTCTGAAAAAATCCTAAGGTGATTGGCGGAGGGATTCGAACTCGAGACCCTTCGTCGTATTTGCACCCCCTGCACTGAGTCTCCAAAACCATTTGTTTCTTAATAAAATATGATTATTTTTATCTATTTATTCTCAAGCTATCCTATACACATTTCATTTATTATTTGTTTAAATTATTATTTTATTAGAAATGTTGCAGATACATTGCACTGCAATGTATCTGCAACAATAGATAAAAATATTTATCTTATTATTAAAAATTATTTATTTTTTATTATTCTTATAATTTAAAGTACATTTTTATAACGCGTAATTTGTTGTCTCAAACAATGTTATATTTAAATCAAATATATTTTATATTACATTTATGTTAAAAAATGTTTATGTTATGTTAATTACATTTATGTTAAAAAATGTTTTTTTCCTATGCAAAAAAAACCTACTTTAATCACCAAAATATCGAGAATGTCTTTAGGTTAGATAGGAGTAACGTAAAATTTATAGAATTAAAGGTTTAAAAGAGAAGTAAATGAATATAATCATCAAAGTAGGTTTAAATAAGTATATTGGTCAGCTAAATAGGTTCAAAGTATCTTAAAAAGTTTGAAAGTAGCATCAAAATTTCGACTCGGGTAAGCAGAAAAGAAAAGTATTAATGTATTTTTCTCGTCCGAGGCTTGTTTTCGAAGCTGTTTACAGAAAACGTTTTGACTTCTAATTTTTCACGTTTTCTGATTAGATAGACAAGTGGTGGGGAAAATCGACCGGCTAGATGGTGGAGAACTGTCAGATTATCTGTGGTGTAAAAGATGGCAATATACATGCGTCTACACGACGCGTGATAAGTAGAACAAAACGTATGAGAAAAAGAAAAAGAAAAAGAGAGAAAAAAAGAAAGAAAGTGAAAGAAAGAGTGACAGAGAGTGGGAGAGAAACTGAGAAAGAGTGAGAGAGAATGAAAAAAAAAGAGTAAAAGAAAAATACTTGAGAGACTAAAAAAGAGAATGCGAGAGAGAGAGTGAGAGTGAGAATGAGGAAAAGTGAGAGAAATTGCAAAAGTGAAAGAAAGAGAGAGTAATAAAGAGTGCGAGAGAAAGTGCGACAAAGTGAGAGAAAGTAAAAGAGAGTGCGAGAAAGAATGAGAGAAAGTGCAAGAGAGAATGAGAAAATGTGAGAAAAAGTGCGAGAGTGAGAAAGAGAAAGAATGATAGAGAGAGCCAGAGAGAGTGAGAGAAAGTAAGAGAGAGTGAGAAAGAGTGCGAGAGAAACTGAGAGAGAGTGAGAGAGAGAGAGAGAAAGTGTAAGAGTGCGAGAGAGAGTGAGAGAGAGTGCGAGAAAGAGTAAGAGAGAGTAGGATAGAAAATGAGAATGAGTGAGAGAATGTGAGAGAGAGTGTTATAGAGTGCGAGAGAGACTAAAGGAGAGTGAGAAAGAGTGCGAGAGAGACTGAGAGAGAGTCAGAGAGAGAGAGAGAGAAAGTGTAAGAGTGCGAGAGAGAGTGAGAGAGAGTGAGAGAGAGTGATAAAGAGTGCGAGAGAAAGTGAGAGAGAATGTGAGAGACAGTGAGAAAAAGTGAAAGAAACTAAGAGAGAGTGAGTGAGAGTGCGAGTGAGAGTGAGAAAGAGTGCGAGAAAGAGTGAGAAAGAGTAAGAGAGAGTGAAAGACAGTGCAAAAAAGAGTGAGAGAGAGTTCGAAAGAAAATGAGAAAGAGTGAAAAAGTCTGCGAGAGAGTGAGAGAGAGTGCAAGTGAGAGTGAGAAAGAGTGCGAGAAAGAGTGAGAGAGACTGAGGGAGAGTGTGAGAGAGAGTGAGAGAGAGTGCGAGAGAGGGTGCGAGAAAGAGTGAGAGAGAGTGCGAGAGAGAGTGAGAAAGAGTGAGAAAGAGTGCAAGAGAGAGAGAGAGAGAGAGTGACTGAGAGAGAGTGAGAAAGAGTGCGAGAGGAAGTGAGAGAGAATGTGAGATACAGTGAAAAAAAGTGAAAGAAATTAAGAGAGAGTGGGAGAGAGTGCAAGAAAGAGTGAGAGAGTGTGAGAAAGAGTGCAAGAGAAAGTGAGAAAGAGTGAGAGATTGTGCGAGAGAGAGTGAGAGAGACTGAGAGAGAGTGCGAGAGAGTGAGAGAAAATATGAGAGACAGTGAAAAAGAGTGAGAGAGTGAAAGAGAGAGTGAGAGAGAGAGAGAGTGAGAGAAAGAGAGTAAGAGTATGAAAAAGAGAAAAAGTAAGAAAGAGATGCCTTAATTACTTTTTATATTTCGACTTTTTACAAAAGGCAAAGTCTACCTATTGATACATATATAATAATTTTATACTTTTTATTTTTTTATAATGTTTTTACTACTTTCTTTAAATGTACACAAGTGTACTTGGTGCTACTTTTTTATATCACTTTTTTTTGTAACGTAGGTTTTGTAGAAATAAAATGTTTTATATTAAAAATAAAATACATTTTGTAATAAATACTAGTTTGAGTTTAGAATTTTAATTTAAAGTATTACGTGTTGTGCGTGTACTTGGCGCACTTTTTTACTTTTTTTAAAAAGGTAAGTTTTTTTCGAATTATATCTCACTTGATAAACATCTAACCACATCCAACTGAGTCCTAAAATGACATTCGAAACATAAACAAAGAAAAAGTGTAACGTTACACTAGTTTTACACCACCTTTCAAGGAGGTGTAAAAAAAGTGTAAATTGCGTCAATAAAGTGTAATACACTTTCAAGAAGAACAGCGTGTAATGACGTAAATCAACGTCACTTTCGGCAAGAAGAACGCTAAAGTGTACACTTTACACTAAAGTGTACGAAGTGTATATAAGAAAAACAGACCTAATATATACTCTTTTATACAGCTCGAAAGACAGAATATCTTTGCCACGCGATTTGCAACCACGAATATAATCTCAAACTAGTAATTACAAAGTTTGCGAAAAGTATTAGTAAATATTGAAAAATATTACTTAATTAATATCTACAAATTATTTCGCTAACGTTATTTTATAATGTATAAAATATTAAGTAAAGAAGTAAAAGGATTACCTTTGATATCTCAAGTCGATTTTGGATCCTATCCTATGGCTGCCGGCGGCTACGAGAAAGAGGAAAGAACTTTACATATGCAGATGGCAGTGATATCATATATGTAATACTCCTATATTGCTAGTCGCGTATCTTCGCAATGAGACGCACGCGAAGGCACACCGTGCAATCACGGCGTGCGTTCACAGTGGCATCTCTGTGCAATCACTGCATGGAAAACGCCATCATAACCGCACAGAGAGCGCACGTGGTGAATAACAGCGCCGTGCTCGCACTGCGATAAAAATGCACCGTAACCGCACTGCAATGAAAATGCGTCGGAACCGCCGTGACATGTGTTGTGAACGGCCGCGTTCAACACAACAATTAGTGAGTTGTCTTGTCACCACTTGACGTTAATTTGTTTTGTTTTATAAGTATAAGAGCCAATTACGTTCGATTACTACAAAGCAGCATATTCTAGTGAACAAAGGTATTGTACCGAAAGTGGGAAAAGTGACCAATAATAAAATAAGTAAAAAATATCATTACTAACTGTGTTTTACAGGTGGTATGTTTTGGCGAGGTTATTCTCATTGTGGCAGTTGACTCAGGTAAAAGACATACAAAATATCACCAATACATTTAAGTTTAAAGTGTATAAAAAATAGTTATTGGTAAAAAAATGTGTATTTTATAAAAATTTTCTATTTTTCAAAATAGATGATTTTCTAAATTTTTAAAATGTCGATCAGGCGACTTATGACAATGTGGTAAATATTATTTTTATTTTTCATATTTAATAAAAATTGATTGTATCAAAGTCTCTTCTTCATATGATATAATATTATTTACAGGTAAGATAATAATATTATTTACAGGTCAATCACTTCATCTATTTAGGTGGTATAAATCCCGTGGACTCTGCAAGACATTATTTTACATGTGTCTTTACTAGCAATATAGATATTTTATCTCATGTCACGTGGCTGGGTACAAACAATTTATACGCTTTAAAAGGAACTCGCTTCGCCGAAGCATGTGAAGGTCACGTCTTTATTATATTATTTTGACTACATTGTTTTCATATCTGATTAATGTTAAAGATGCA